TGGACACCGCGAGGTCGGCCAGCGTCCGCACCACGAAGCAGTGCGGGAGGGCCCCAGGTTGGAACCGGGTCAGCAGCTCCTCCATCACCAGGCTGACAAAGCGCCTTCCCACAGCCACGAGCACGCTGCTGGCGGCCTGCTGCCAGTCACACACCGACTCCTGTACCCCAAAGACTGCACTGACACCCCAGCCAAGCAGAGGCGATGGCCTGAGTCCCCCAAGAGGCACAGGGGAGCCCGCGCAGCCCACGGCCCACACCGCGGGGAGTGGGCTGGGCCAACATCACCTTCACCAGCGTCATCTCGTGGGCAGCCAGGAGGACGAGCGCCCTGGCCGTGTCCTTGTCCAGCTCGCCCAGGTGGCTGCCCAGTACCGTCTCCATGGCCTGCAGGATCCTGGCCCGGCAGGGCGGCGCCAGCTGAGGGCGGTTGGGGACAACAGGGTGAGCCAGGCGCTGTACCTCGCGGGGGGACCCTATGCAGAGGGCCTGGCCAGGACCTCCCCGCCCACTCTGCCGGCCTGCACCAGGTCCTGCAGGCTACACTGTCTCTCAGGGCCACTGCCCAAGCTCTTGCTGTGTCCCGGTCATCGACAGAGGCACATCCCAAGCCCCCATAGCCACTGGCCCAGTGTCCTCCCCTGGCCCGGGGCCTGGGCACTCTCCAGCTGGCACCCTAGCGAGGACCATGCAGTGACCGCAGCCACGGGGAGGGGCACAGGAAACAGGGGCTGCCAGGGCAAGTGCCCGCCCCAGCCAGAAACCAGGGGGCAGGCGAGGCCGGGCAGCCCACTCCCGCAGCACCCCGGCAAGGGAGCCAGAGAGATGGCAACGGCCCAGGGCCCCACGCCGGCCACACTGGGCTGTCTCCTCCCCATGACCTGGTCACTGGCTCCCAGGGCCGGAAGCTGGCAGGCCCCTTGGGTCACAGCCATCGTGGCCTGCAGAGGTACCCAGCCAGCGCGCCCACTGCGGGCAGCAGCACCACCCCATGCCCACCGCCCACGGGCATGACCAGCAGTCAGCACCTCCGCTGTCGGGGCCGCACCAGTTACGGACACAGCCCCAGGCAGCGCCAAGACGGGGCAGGGGCCTGCGGCAGGGGCCTGCGGCGAGGGGCTGTAGCCACCAGCCCCACAAGCCTCCCTCCGGGTGGCAGCCTGACCCAAGGGGGCCTCAGGCGGGGCTCCAATTCTGACCCTGGAGGGTGACTCAGCCGGACCCAGGTGCCAGCCTGTGTGGATGCTGGTGCCCCCATCCCGAGGGGGGCTGGGCTGCTGATGGCTGCGAGAGCCCCTCGGGGGGGGTGACGCTCCCCGGCACTAGGCAGGCGTGTGTGACGTCAGCGTCAGCCAGAAAAGGCAAACACAAAGGTGCTCACTGACCAGCTGAAGGCGGGACCCCTCCCGCCTCAGATGCACCCCGGGTGCACACACAGAACCCAGCCCCCGGGGACTTGGCAGAGAGCAGGCGCCGCTCCAGCCGAGGGGACAGGGCTTCGCCAGGCACCAGCCCGCGGCACCCCGGCCAGGGCTGTGGGCGCAGACACGGCCACTTGCCCCTGGGCGCTCCCGGGCTCGGGTCAGGCTGCGCCATCGCCCGGCCCCTCCACCCCTGGGCCGTCTGCCCCGTGGCCCCCAGGCCCGCACGTCTTGGACCCTAGAGGCTGTCGTGGGGAAGGGACCAGGCTGCCAGGCCCATGCACTGCTGGCCACGACCTTTTTGAGGGCAAGGCCGACAGTGTGGTGTGGTCACAGTGGAGTGTGCTGAGGCCAGAGTCGGGTGCACAGGCTGTGCCCCGGGCCCACTCCGCCTTGTAGAGGAGGAAGACACCCCCAGCCAGAGGGAGCAAGGGGGACAAAGGGCCCAGGGTGAGCCCTGCACTGCCTCTGGCACAGCCCAGCCCGGCGCAGACCCTGCGGGCTCACACAGGCCGAGGCAGCGCAGCGCCAGGGTGGGAAGAGCCCTGCGGGCAGGGCGGCACAGCATGTGGACAGGGCCCGGGGCGCCACCCTGGGCTGGTGTGCTGCTCGCAGGAACTGGCCTCTGCTCCCTGGACACCGCCCACCTCTGGGCTCTCACCCACACGTGGTGTGGCTGGTGGCGAGTGGCCTCCTCTGCCCCAGGCACAGTGACCCCCTCCCCAGTCAGTGGATGCGGGGCAGGGGACGCTGGGCCTCGTCTGCCCGCGAGCTGGAGAGCAGTGGCGACAGCTCTGGCCCCCCGCAAGAGGCCCGAGCGGCCATCGGTGCTGGGCCGCGGCTCTGCTGGGCGCCGCTGACCGGGCGGTACCTTCTCGTGCTGCCGCAGGTAGCCCTCGCAGGCGGTGAGCGTGTCCTCCGGTCGCGCCACCCCGAGCGCGTGCAGCGCCCCGCAGACCTGCTCCTGCACCAGCGGGTCCTTGTCGGCGACGGCGTCCAGCAGGACAGCACAGAGCCCTGCACACAGGTTCCATAAGCCCAGGCCAGGCTGGCCACGGCCAGGGGTGGCCTGACTGCGTCCCAGGGCACCCGCCGCTCTCGCTGGCTACGGCTCCCGGCCCGCAGTCTGGGCCTGAGGCCTGTGCAGAGCCACCGCAGCGGGTGGAGGGAGCCCAGGCAGGTGGCCGGAGGCCCCCCGCGCCCACTGCACTCCCTCCGCGCCATGCTGCGCCCTGGACGCGGAGCTGCCGCCCACTCACGCTTCACGTAGGGCTCTGTCATCGTGGGGCTGGCCCAGGCGACCCGGACAGCTTCTTCCCACCTGGAGAGCAGAGGCAGCAGTGGTGCTCAGGGCCGAGGGGCATCACCATGGGCAGTGTCGACTGCACTCTGGCGGAGCCCCCAGGAGGGCACAGGCCTTGCCGCCTCCCCTCTATTCTGCAGAGGGGGCAGGCCGAAGTCGCCGTCCACACGGTCAGCAGAGCAGGCGACCCCTCCTGAGGCCAAGGGCTGGACCACAGGGACTCAGCCCCCAGCGGCCCCGTCCAGCACAAGGCGCCTCCTCGGGCTGGGGGCCCGGCTGCAGCCCCTGGTCCCCATGGGCACGGAGTGGGGAGGGGGCCAGCTCACACCATGTGTGGAGGGGCAGGAGTGCGTGGGGCTGAAAACAGGTGACAAATCTGCTTGAAGACGACAATGACCCCAAAATTCACCCACCCCCCAAAACCTCAAAACTGTGACAGAGAAGACCCCGTTTTGAAGCAGGCCCGCAGGCCCGCGAAAGCGGCAGAGTGGGGTGGGCGGGCAGGAGGTCGGGGCCACAGTGGGCAGGGGCCAGCCCGCGGTCTCCCCGGAGGGCAGGCGGCAGGGAAGGAGAGGGGCACGGCGCCCGGGGCATGGAGCGCGGCCAGGCGGGGCACCCTGGCAGGGCAAGGCGGGGGCTCTGGTCTGGGAGCACCGCCCGGTGCTCCCACGGCAGGCCGGACCCCTCCATGCACCGGGCTTGCCCGGTCCGCCGAGGAACAGCCTTGCCCAGGGCCCAGATGGCAAGAGGGATCAGGCCCACAGGCGCCAGGCAGGGAAGAACGGCGGGACGCACAGCCCCTCCCCAGGCCCTGGGCGGCGGCCAGGGCAGCCACACGCCACGCTACTGAGTGCCGGGCCCTGGGCACCGCCACCGAGGTGGACGGGGCTGGAGGCCAAAGGCCAGGGCCTGAGAAAGAAGGGCCCGCGCGAGGCCCGGGGCCACTCGCTCGCGAGGGCAGCCGCGGAGCATGCCCGAGACGCCCCGGGACCGCTCTGGGGTGGCAGAGGCCAGCGGGGGGCCGCCCAGTCTGTGCGCCGGGCCCTCGCAGCAG